GTGTGTGTGTGTGTGTGTGTGTTGGTGTGTGGTGTTTGTGTGGTGGCATGAAGTATATTAGTAGTTAGTGTGTTCTGTGAGAGTTGTGTGGTTTGTCATATGAATTGGTGCAGATATAGTATTTTATTTAATACATATAGCTGCTCATTAATGGTGAGTTTGACCCATTCTTTTAGCTCTAGATAAATCTAGCAGTCATAACAAAACGTTCTCAATAATTGAGTTAATATATCACTAGTCATACATAAACTATGTACGCCTGATATTCAGTGCAATCTCAATAGACATATAAGCGTTTAGATTTATCAATAATACATCATACGTTAATAGTGACTAAAAATATTTTCCGAATCTATCCATTACTCTGACCTGTTTTATCGCCATCCCCTTGAGAAACAAAAATATGCAATTCGAAGAAAACTGGACGCGTGTTTACAAGCGGCGGCAAATCCAGTATCATGATTTGGGGAAAAGGCGCGCATAACAATACTAACGGTGAACCCGAGGCAACAGAAACCCGGAAATCCCGACGACGACCATTAGTCCTGCGAGTCATCCCGGGAACAGGGACTTCCTACCGTCTGGAATCCCGCCTCAGTTGCCAGTCGCCGATGATCCCCCTGTTTGTTCCGTTCGGCTCAAAAGATGGCATCTAGCTCGTTTTCTTGTAAGCATTCCTGCATCCGGGCTCAAAAAGGAGGGAAAATGTCTTTAAGATATTATTCTTCCTTCGATGGTCGAATATGGCGGAAGAATGACAACCGAAATGGGCACTCGGCAACTCGCCTTCCATGAAGCATACGTCATCAAGATTTGAACTCTGTTTTTCCAGGTTTCTTAAGCGCGACTAAGAATTACATATATAAAGAGGCTGGAAGATCTTTCAGGCATTAGACTTGCAGCATCTTCAGTTTACACACCTGATCAGCACTTCTATACCAAGATGTACAGGTAAGTCCACAGTTCAGGTCAGTCGAAAGGGTTCTGTTCCATGACGCGACATTATTTTAGACATGCTAATCATTTGGTAAACATGCAGTCGAGAGGTAATCTTTAACTAGCAAAATTTGTTTCCAAGTACATAAAGATAAACATTGTTTACTTTATAACTTAATACAGTTATCATGTATGTGACATTTACCTTCCATTTACATTTTTTCGTAAAATAGCTGTGTAAACTATCTACCCAAATCAGTTCTATAATAATTATTATGTTTTTTAACATCTTAATATTTTGGAAGTCGTTACAGAATACGAAATTTGTTCAAATAAGGTATAGGCACTATTACAACTGAAACAACAAAGCAAATGTTTCATATGCATGTATTATGCAGACACGCATTTTGTCTATACGTGTGCTCGTAAGCATCCACCTGTGCGCGTGCGTGCGAGCTCTCGAAATCCCATTCCGCGAGACGGCCGCTTGACCGCTTGCTTCCCGCAGGACCGGACTCCTCCTCCTGGCCGCCGCGCTGCTTCCCTTGGCCGCCGCCTATGGCGTCCCGAGGCAGCCGCAGCCGCCCCAGCAGGCTCCTTCCTACCAGCAAAGTCAGCAGGAAATTTCTCCAATCCTCTTCCCTTCCGAATCCGGGCCTGAGCAGCAAAAGGTGAGTGTTGAAAATTGAAATAAAAATCATCCATGCTGTCAGGTATCATGGCTTTATCTGGTATTCAGAACGGCAGATTTTGATCCTGTGCTCCTTTGCCATCTCCGCTGACGGCTCCCTCGTTGCGTTGCAGCTCTGCCCAACCAGCACCGTCTACCAGAAGGTGACGGAGACGCAGGTCGTCCCAACTTACGTCACCAAGACGCTTGAACGCTACGTGACGGAATACGAAACGCAGGTCCAGACGCAGTACCAGACCGTAGCCACTACGGTTGTCCAGCCGTCTTACGTCACCGAGACTGAGTACAAGACCAATTTTAAGACCAATTATGAGACCGAATACTTAACCGAGACTGTGCACAACACGCAGACCATCCACTCTACATACACCCAGGTAAAACATCCGTGCATTGTAACAGATTGATTAGATGAAACGATTCTTATCAATGGCAAAATCTAGAGACCACCAAGCTAAATTCATTAATCTTTCCCCTCATAGGTCGACACAACCTCCGTATACGTCACCAAGACGCAAGATCACTACGTTACCAACACCTACCTAGCCGTCCAGCTCAGGCTATTACCTCATCAGTACCTCATTACGTCACCACCACATCAGAGATCAACCACTACGTCACCGTCACAAAGGAATCGCAACGCCCTATATTAAGAGTATAAGTAGCTGTCGCTGATTTGGATACTAAACTGAAGAAGAGAATACTATATAGATATATATTAATATTAATGTAAAAGTGGTGCAAAGGTATTAAAATTGTTGGTCTCTTATTTCCAGATGGCGGCTACGGATACGGGAAGTAATTCGCAACCGGACGACCGAACCAGAAACGAATATGCCACGTTACTCAGGAACTTACTGAAGGTGCCTTTGCAGG